TTTAACCAACCTTGTAAAATCTCTGCACTCAGTCTGGGAAAGCAGGACAGGGTGCTGGAATGAAACCAACTACCACAAAGGACAGCCTACAAGCGGGGGTGACAAGGCGGGGTGCTCGGCATCTGCCACGGGCAGCGAAGAAGGGGCGACTGTCCAAAAGGCGACAACGTGGCCTGTGTAAGGGGTTCAAGCTTTTAGCTCCCCATCAAATACACAAAACGGACAACACAATTTCTCACCTACCTCGACTCAGGCTTTTAGCAGATTAAGGAAAGGGGCTGAATGAGCAATTTAGTCATTTTAATTTCTTAAACTACTTGACAAATACCAAGAATTAATTCTCCTGTTTGACCCCAAGAAAACAATCTGGCCTAGACCCTGTGCGTTCAACACAAACGTCTGATTAGGGACAATTCACAGAGCACTTTGGCGACTAAGCTGCCAACGTTGCCCACGCACTTTCCTCAGAAGCTTGACCAGCGATCTCCGGTGGTTCCCTGCACACATTCCTGTGATGGGCTAAGACCGGAAACCAGGATATTTACAACATTTTACAGATAACAACACGGGAGCTGACAGTGAACCTACCGGTCGAGGCTGGAGTGGGACCGCCAGGCAGGAAGGCGGCTCTATCGCTCAGGAGCCGTGTGATCTCGGACAAACACTCGCTCCTCCTACAATATCTGTGGAGTGTCAACTAGTCCCAGGCGCTGGTCTAAGCACAAACCACAGGCCCGTGTGCGGCTGGCCCTTCAGAGGAGAGAGAGGCCCGAGGGATCGACGTGGAGCTCCTGGCTCCAACCACCGCTTAGACGGCGGGGGGTGTGGGGAATGCCTAAGTCCGCCCAGGATCATCAGCTCGACGCTCCTGTTAGGTTATTTACACGGCACTGGCCGCCGCGCTCACGGACGAGTGTACATGATAACTAAGTAGGGCCCACAGAGCACACGCGTACATGTGCACACAGCCCTGCAGAAACCAGCAGCTCCAGGCGACACCGACATGCCGTGCTAACGGGATTCCGAGTTTCGGGGAAGGAGGGAGCAGGCAGGAAAAACGCCTCGGCTGCTACACAAATACCGTGTGTGAGTGTTCACGGCACCGAGTGCTTCCTCTCCTGTCCTTCTAATTGGATTTCTCGCTAAAAACCAATAAACAATCGAAACTACTCAGATGTCTGTGTCCACCGCTGACTCAATCAGCCAGCTGGTTCTCAGGCTTCCTTCCTGAAAATGGGCTGGGGCACTTGAAGAGAGTGAAGAACAGATTTACTGTTCAAACAGCTCCAGAAACACGTCCACTTCCCTCCATTTACACACAGCGAGGTTGATGTAACGCCTGATCTATACCAGGTAACTGAATTCTTCCTACTGTCCCAGGCAAACGGCACACACTAACGTGAGAAATTCTGTCCTGGAAAAATATCGTGGCAACAACTACTCTTTGAAAATCAACTTCAGCGTCGACTACGACCCTGAGGCAAGGAGAGGGTGACACGGCACATCTCTCCGCCGGCCAGGGAACTTACTACCGACAGGACTTAAACAAGAACCACCCTGATGTACAAAGTGCTATTGAATGTCAGCAAAGCAGCAAATCTCCGAGCGATCCCAGATCTGTGGCTGCAGCCAGGTTACAATCCTAGGAAATACCTCCACTTAAAAAATTTATTCAAAGTAAAATCTAAGCGAAAGGATTCTCTATAAAGACTGCTCGGCATTTTCAAATAAGTCTTTTCAGGCGACTGAAACAGGGAGTGCGAGGGAGACCCTGAGCTGTAATTACCCAGGTCCCTGCCTCGCACGGGCCAGCGGCACACGCAGCACCTGCGGGTGGGTCAGGGGGGCTGAATCTCGGGTCCCCCCAACCCTCTGGAACCGAGTCTGTAACTCGGCCCGCAGGCGAGCTGTGTGCGTGACTTTCTGAGACACGCTGGCCTAGGCGTTACCTGCCTGATGATACCGAGACAAGGAATGAAAGGATGCGATGAAATATTCTGCTTTTCAACCACAAGCACAGGCTCTTTGGTCAGGTGCCCCCACTATTAAAATTAACAAGAGAGGGTATGGTGCCCGGGAGCCACAAACCACCCTTAGCCATCAAGACACTTTGAGGAAGGGTCAGAAACATTCCCGGTGCATCCCACCCGGTCCAGCATCCAGAGCAAACAAAACCGCGCTCACAGCTGGTACCTGCGAACCGCAGAGGGGCGTCTTTGTCCAGGGCGATCAGCGGGGGGTCGAGCAGCACGGTGTTGTCGTTCTCTGTCACGATGCCGTGGTAGGTGGGCTCAAGCCAGGGCTTGTGCTTGTTAGCTGTGTTTAAAAAAAAGAAAGGAAATACAGCAGGTCAGAACGATTATCTTATTTTTTTAAAGGTTTTTTTAAATCGATTTTTAGAGAGGGAGGGAGAGGGGGGGAGAGGGGGAAACATCCATGTGTGAGGCCGACACTGATCAGCTGCCTCCCGCTCGCCCCCCACGGGGGATGGAGCCGGAAACCAAGGCGTGTGCCCCGACCGGTGACCAGCAACCTCTCGGTGCACCGGGCGACGCCCAACCAACCGAGCCACACCAGCCGGGCCTAGAATGACAATTTATTTTATTTATTTTATTATTATTATTTTTAAATATATCTTTATTGATTTCAGAGAGAGGAAAGGAGAGGGGGAGAGAGAGATAGAAACATCAATGATGAGAGAGTCACTGATCGAGCCCGCAACCCGGGCATGTGCCCTGACCTGGAATCGAACCCCGATTGCCTGGATCCTAGGTCGACGCTCAACCGCTGAGCCACACCCAGCCGGGCTAGAATGACTATTTCAAACTCAACTGCTTTTGAAGACATACATCGATTATTGAAATAATAAAACTCTCATTGGTCTGGAAGGCAACACTTGTATTTTTTGTTACAGAGTTTGGTATCAAAACTCAAACGGGATGAAATTCTAAATTCTAGATTACGTAATAAAGAAAGTATCTGAGTCCAGGAAGAAACCAGGTTCCACTCTAGAAATTAAAAGAAAAAAGACTGATGGCCGGCGGACAAACCATTTTCAGCCTATCACAAGAAAGTGACAAAGAAAATTGTCATTTCTTTATGACGATACAACTGTACTTATTTAAAATTAGCATTGCAAACAAAAATGTAAAACAGAGACACAGAACAGGCAAGACTTACGAATATAAAATTACAAACCTAAGGTATTAAAATAAAACAGCAAAATGCAAATTTCCTAAAATGCTTCACTGAAAACTGTGTTTAAGAATAGCTTTGCTTTGGGGCCAGGCTGACCTGGGGTCCGATTCCAGCCCCCTCTACCTTCACCCACTGCGTGACCTTCAGCACTGACCTTGGCCCGGTACCTGACCTCTCGATCTCACTTCCTAGTCTGTAAGCGGCCGGCCCCCCCCAGAGGGCTGGGCCATAGCTGCAGAAGGGCTGCTGCCCCCCGACTGGGCCCTGTGGCTGCGGCTTCTGTCCTAGGGCCGCCCTGTGCTGTTCTGGCAGGTGCTTGCCCGAACCGCGATTTTAGTTCCGACCCCTCCCGCCTCGCCTGGGCTGGCTTCGCCCAGGTCCCAGCCACTCTCCCCCCGAGGGCCGAGCTCCACCAGCGTATTTTGGGCTCCACTTCACAGCTGGGACTTCTTCATTTTCTTTCTACTTTCACCTTGAGAGTTACCAGCTCTCGTAATACCTCGGGACAGTATTAACCAATTAACCACAGAAGCCCTCAGTTCCGCTGATCTAATTAGAAGGAAGGGTACGGAACTTTATTCCCAAGGAGGTGGTGCGTGCCTGTTAAATGAACTACCCAGACTCTTGCCCGTGAGTGCAAATCCATCCAGGAGGATCTGAAACTAAATGTCAGCGTTTAACCGTGTCTAGTACGTCCCGCGAGGGGACACTGCTTTCTGCTTTGAGCGACGGCCACTGCGGAGCGACAGGGGAACACGGTGGTGAGCGCGCCTGGGCCTCGCCCGCATTTTCTCCAGCGCCAGGAGGAGCCCTGAAGGGGGCAAACAAGCCATCAGACGTTCATGACGCCACAGCCGGACCATGGCCAACCCTTTGCCTTCAGTGGCAAGGCCACTCCAGACCCACGGGGCCAGTTTTGTGGGTCCGAGTTGCAGTTTTGCAAGAGGAGAAGAGTTATGGGGACAGCTGCCCAGCAACGTGAATGAACGTACTTAACGCAGCTGAACTTGAAATGGTTACGACGGGAAACTGTTATACACATTTTGCCGCATTTAAAACTCCACACACACAAAACCAGACGCTGCTCACCTGGAGTGCTTATGTTTGTGCAAGAGCCAGTGACCACGCACATTTCCCCCCTGCACTGCTCTTCAAGGCAGCCGATGGGTCTACTCTAAAGTGCCCTCAAATCTGTGGCTCAGAGCTGGTCACACCAGAAAGGTCCTGAGGACACCAACAGCCTTTGTTTATATGGGATCTATCTACCTACCTACCTGTTTAATGGATCTGCCTAATCGAATCTACCTACCTACCTACCCATCAGTATTTACTGTACTGGAAATTAAAACCAAGGTAAATTTTAATATTTCCTAAGGAGTAAATATTATGTTTACTGGGAAGAGCGGCGCCGTTTTCCACTCTGAATCTTCGCGGCCTGGCCTAGCAGGAGCCAGCGGGGATCCCATCTCTGCTCCTGCAGCCAGTGCCACACAGGCCGCGCAGCCTCTAGAAACTCCGCAGAGCACCCGTGAGATGAGGGGAGGGCACGTCCAGGTCTTACTATTATTAAAACAGATCTGACCTCTCGAGTCCCCTGCCTGGGTCTCAGGGGCTCGTCACCTCGCTTCGGGTCCCTGTTCAAACGCTTCCCGTCCCACTCCGCCCGCGCCTGCTGCTCTGGCCCCCACGCCTCCTTCCCCGCTGCTCACGGCCACCTCGGCGCAGAGAGCGCCAGCCTGGGACCTCGGGACAGGCTACCTGGCTGCCTCCGTGGCCTCGGTTTCCTCACCGGTGAACGGAGGACAGTGTCAGACACAGGAGATGCCACGAGGTGCTGTTGTGCCCTGACCTTCTCCCTCCACTCAGACGGGGACAAAAACAGCTGGCGGGAGGGGTCGCCTTCTGTCGTCTGCTAACTAGCATCTCGTCACTCGTCAGGATCTGGCCAATGAATGAGCGCACAAGGAACCTCATATGGGGTACAAATAAAATCAGCGTCCTGGTTTGTAAATTCTCTCCTAGAGAAGGTGGCTTTGGTGCTGAGAACTGAAAACCAGGTATGACGTGGTGCTGTAAACATCGGGAAAGTGTTACTTTTTGTTTCTGGCAGGCGGATGGATGGTCCAAGCAGAGCAGACGAGGGAATCTGTCGGTCAACGTGCAGCCAGCCTGAGAGATCTGTCCAGAGAGTGAGCTGTGCTTTGATTACGGAGAGACCGACTAGGACACCAAACCCAGATCACAAAGGCCGAAATTTAAAGTGCCTTTGGAAAATATCTTCCTCCCCCACACAAAAACTCCCCCTGGGACAGGAGACTTGGTAAAGGAGAGACTCTGGAAGGTTAGGGCACGCCTGCCATCTCCCTCGAGGACGGCAGCGAGCTCGCCAGAGGAGCGCTGGGCGCGGGCCCGAGCCTGCGGCAGCTCTGCTCGGGGAGGGTCCCCTGAACACAGAAAGCAGCCTCGCTCTGCAGTGGGCCGAACGCTCCCCTAATGGTCACGACCCCCGTCTTCTCCGGACAGCTCCCGAAACGGCGCTGTGACGCGGGCTGGCCCGCTGCCGGGCTGCAGGTGCGGCAGATGAACAGGCCGCTGAGAAAAGGCCCCCAGACTCCCACTGTCACCAAGCTCTCCTTTCCAGACACAGGAGCTATTAACTCAATTTACTGTTAATAATATACCATTACGAGCAACAGTCAATTCCAATTTGTTTTCATACTTAAGGTTTTATTAATAAAATTATAAGCATAGCCAATGAAACTGAAGATTATTCCAATATGTGGGTCCATAAAACTCATCAGACTTTAAATAAATGAATTTATCTAACCCGGTAAAAAGGTAAAAATACCAGGCAAACTGAAAAAAAAAAAAAAAACTCAAACAGCAGAAAAATATAAAAACGCAGTAGCATAAAATGTGTATTTCTGCTACACTAATGGAAAGGCCTGCAGCTGAAAATGACTGATGGTCCAAGACAAAAAATAATTTTACAGTGATATTCCCAGTTCTTTTATTTTTCCCCCCCAGTAGTCTAATTTTATAATTCAAATTTTCTAAATTGCTCCTTTAGGCTGGCACTAGAATGAAGAGAGCCGGCCAGTTTCAAAGACTGAACTTTTAAATATTTAATAAATGGTATTTTTAATATTTCATCACATTCAATTGGCATTATAAAATATTTATGGAAACAAGTGACGGATGTTTCTCTAATGGTCCAAAAAGAACCCACAAATAGAGAGGAGAGACTACCCACCAGAAGTCTAGGAATAGGTGGCTGAAAGTCTCTTCCCGACTCATTTCTTCACATTCTAGATCATAAAAAGCCAACAAGATTCTGAATGGCACCGTATTACTTAAGATCAGGGAGTGGCAAGGCTGGCGGCCAGGCCCTCTGTGAATGGAGGCCGTACCTGGGGTGCACACCTATTACTCTAAGCCATGGCTAATTTTTGTGTTTATGAAATTGCCACTGACTTAAAAATCGAAATGAAATGATACAATGGTCAACTTCAGGGTTAACTTTAAATATAAAAACCTATACAGCGGGGCCTCGGGTTTCGAACGTCTCAGTTGACCAGCATTTCGGTTTGCAAACGCCATAAACCTGAGGCAAGTGCTTCAGGTTTCGAACCTGCCTCGGAAGGCGAACATGCCCCGCGGCTCCCGCTGAGGGCAAGGTCCTGAGGCCCAGCTGTCAGCTGTGGGTCCCTCGGTTCTCGAACGTTTCAGAACTCGGACGGGTTTCCGGAACGGATCACATTAAAAACCGAGGTGCCACTGTACCTTCCTAGTGCATCCCAGCTCCGTGGGCAGGAGGGAGGCTGGTGCCTTGTCCGGGCCGCACAAGTCACAGATCCCTGGCAAGGTGGCTGCAAAGCCCGTGTGTGGCAGCCCTGACATCAGCCCTGCACCAGAGTCCCCGTCTGATAAATTTGTTTACAAAGAGAAATCCACTCTTTCCAGAAACAAATTTGACGTGTGCCCCTTCTCATTCCAGAACATCTGGGTTGGTTATATCAGCCCAAGAACAACATAGTAATAAATAATGACAGCTGTGTGTTTTAAGAAACTGTGGGCATTTCACTGGCAAATCTGAGATAACGTTACATGTTCTGTTT